TGGGGGGGAGGGGGGAACGGGAACGGGGCGGCCCGTAGCAATTTGGGGGCAAGCGGGGGAGGGGGGTGTTCCTGTGGAAAGGGCCAACTGCAAGGCTGCAACGAGCTCCTTCGTGGTGAAACTTCCGGGAGACGGCTCCGTCCTTCAGTTTCGCCGTTAAGGATTTCTGTGTTCACGGGGGCGCGAGTGTGTGGAGGACATTTTGTAGCAGGACACCCAAAAAAATGGGTGCGTCGACTGGGGAAAGCCTCATCAGGAGCTGGGGAGGACCGGGGCGGTGGGGGTGCCGGGGCGCTGGGTCCTCCCCGGTGCCTGGCTGGCAGCCCGGGTCGCTGCATTTGCTGTCCCCCCGGGTGGCGGTGGGGCTCGGTGTCCTTCAGGCCCAAGGGACCATGGCTTCTGCTGGCAGTTGGCACTTTTGGCTGTCTGAGCCTTTTTGGAGCTTGCTTGAACAAGAAGAGATCAGAACACGGTGCCTGGGAAGAGTCAGCAGCTTAGCAGGGAGGTGCTTCGTACCAGGAGGAGAAAAATCCTTCTCCAGTTCAGAACTGGGCACGTCGTGGGCCAGGAAGGGCCATTTTCTTCTTGCCCGTGCTGGAAGCGGAGGTTGCAGGAGTGCATGAGGGTGTGGGGCAGGCAGGTTTGCTCCCAGCTGGGGGGTGGCGGGGGGACAGGATGGGGCTGGGAACCCCTTGCACGAAAAACCCTCGGTATGTGCCCCGAGCGAAACGCTCCTTCTCAACTTGCGCAATCCCTGCCTGAGTTTTCATAACCCCCAACTGTTGCTGCAGCGAGTGGAAGGGGATTTCTGCAAGAAAGCAGAACACCTGTGTGGGGTGCGGGGAAGGCGCTGTGCGGACTTGCCAGGCCCGTGCTCTGTGCAAACAGTCGTTTTCCAGGGAATTAGTTTGGCTTTGCACGTAGCCCTCAGCCAGAGCTCGACAGCTGCGGATTCAAACCCCACGTAGCACCGGTAGCACTATGGGCACCAGCCCCCGTACCCAGCGCGGTGCCCCTGTGAAGGGGCGCACGTCAAACCTGTTAAGAAATCACACTGGTGCCATTTAAACCCCTGCAGCTTTCTCCTGGTGGGTGCGGGTCAGGCCCTGGGGTGCGTGGGGGCTGTGCTGTGGCTCCCACTCCCCCCCCCTTCCCCCAATGACAGCTACCACTCCGCGGGGACATGGCTCCAGCAGAGGTGATGCTGAGCTCAGGTTTGTGCTTTCAGCTGAAGCCCCCTGAGAGCTTCTCCTTGCTGAGAAAGGGGGGCAGCCAGCAGCAGTCCCTTGTGCTGCTTGGACCCCTCCTTTGGGCCACCACAGCCCCTGCCCAGTTGTACCAGCTGGAGATGGGTCTTGGAGTCTCCTTCACTTGTTATTAAGGTTGTAGGTGAAGGGAGATGACAGCTTCAAATTTCCAGTATTGCTGTGGAAATGAGCTGCAAAACCAGTCTGGACAATGGCAGCTACTGGTACATCTCCAGGGGAGAGACTGGCTGGTTTAATGCATTGCCTAAACCAGAGGGAATTAAAGTATCCCCCTTGAGCTGAAACTAGCAACAGGCTTGTAGCAGTTGGACTAAAACTGCATGGATTGAGTGCAGGGATCTGCATTCTCTTGGCCTCAAGTCATCTGCAAAGGCCTCCCAAGTGTCACATACAGATGCAAAGCCATTAAATAATGTCCTTGGGGTGGCAGGTGTTTTCCTACAGAGGGGTTCAGGGGCTTTTCTGCTACCTGCTCTTGGCCAGTTTGTAATCTTGCCAGTATTTCCTTCCTAGTGGTTTTTATTGACTTGGGGCTAAAGCTGGGGGAGACAGTGATGAGACTGAGCTGTGTCACCCCAGGGATGGCCACACCAAAGCTGTGTTCTGCTTTTCATGGGGTGACCAAGGGTCAGTGGTGGCTCTGATGGCCGTGGTTTCTCCACAGGGCGCCTGAGCTCCACATCCAGCAACAGCTCCTGCGGCAGCTCGGAGTACTCTGGGGAGGTCATCCCCCACCCCCCGGGTAAGTCCCGGCTTGGGGCCATGGGGGGGACTATGCTCCTGGCCCCTCCACTGCAAATCCTACTGGAGGTCACCCAGCCTCTCTGGTGGGATGAGACTGGGTTGGTAGCGGGGCTGCCCGGATTGTACTGACCTGGACTTTCCCTGGCACGCGCTGTCCCCCAGGTCTGCCCAAGTCCGACCCTGGCCACTGGTGGGCCAGTTTCTTCTTTGGGAAGACGACTCACCCAGCCATGACGACCGTGTCGGAGTCCCCGGAGAGGTGAGTGCTTTCCTTGGACGAGATGATGCAGGGCAGTGCCGGTGGGCACTGGGGGACATCCCCGCTGTGTCCCCCCAGGTGCATCCTGACCCAATGGGTGACATCTTCACACCCAGGGCACCATCTCCTTTGCTACAGAAATAAATGCGGAGCGACAACGCAACACCTTGGGGTCGGCCTGACCCTTCCTGTGCTCTGTCTTGCAGCTCAGGAGCGCTGCGGGTGACGCCAGGACCGATGGCATGTGGCTTGGTACCGGCCCCAGGAGCAGGACGGAGGCGCCACGCCAGCGAGCCCAGCTCCGGGCCCTTGGCATGAGCGGGTCAGCGGCTGGTCCCCCCACGCGTGGGGGGCCGGCCAAAACCCCCGCCCCCCCGGTAGAGTAGGCAGGCTGCTCCAAGGCAGAGGCGTCGCTTTGTGATAAAAAAGTGCAGCAACCCCCTCCCCGACGATTCCCACACCAGCCTTTTTACTCTTTCTTAACGCAACTACGCCCTTTCCACGCAGACTCGGTAACACGTTTTATTTACCTTGTACTCATACAATGGCAACTAATAAAAGTCAAGCAGCCTTTTAAGACCCTGCGGGTTGTTCTTCAGCTGGGGTGGGAGGGTAGAAGAGTGTTATGGATGTTGGTGGGGCCAGACTGGGACACGGCGCAGTGTCCAACCGCAGCATTTCCAGCAGGGTCCGGTAACGCTGGATGGCAGGGCCATGCCAGTGACTCACCAGGATGGGTGTGTTCTGTGTGTGAGCAAGATCAGGCTTAGCTGCAGCAGTGCTGCGAATGCCTCCCCCACCCTTTCTTCTCTACTTGGCTGCACATCCCGTCCCTGCTGGCACTGAACTTGCTCTGCTCCCTGAGCACATTGCTGCCCTGCCCTGCTCTGGGGGGTAGGAGCGGGTGCTTGGGTCTGCTCAGGGCTGGGGGAAGCATTTGGGTGCAGAGCGAGCCCTCTGCACCAAGGGGGGAAATGAGGCTTGCTCAGGGCTTGTGCTTTGTGGGTCTGATGTCAGGCTGGAGCTCGTGGTGTGGATGGAAGCTGGGGGGGTGCAGCGGGCTGGGCAGCCCTGGAGCTCAGCATGCCCCTGTGCTGTACTGCCTGAAGGGGTGTTTTGGCTGATTTTTGCCTTGGATTAGTCAACTTGGCTGTGTTTGGCCCATCTGCAATCAGCCTGATGGATAGCTGGGCAGTGCTGCTAGATAAAGCGCTGAGAAAACAAGAGCCTGCAGGTGCCTGCATGCAGGGGGGGCAAGGTCCCTGTTCCTGCTGCAGGCAAACAAAACCCTGGCGGGGGTGGATTTAAAGATGCCAAACCTTCCTGCTGCCGTCTGCTTTCAGCCCCAGCACGTGGGATGGAGGAGTCCCTGCGTGCATCAGGTGCTGGGGCAGCCGGGGGCTGTGGGACCCCTGCGCGGTGACATTGTACCCCTGGCATCCCCTGCAGGCAGGGGCGGTGG